TGTTTAAAACTCATGCATCCAAAGTCAGCATGCCCCTGATCATATTTGCTTCAGAAATATCACTAGGGAGGTGGCATGGCCTTTCAGGATCTTTTCATGAAAAACAAGTGTGTTTTGTGTGGTTCTTTTTTAGGCATACATTTATCAATGGGGCTGGTGTTGTGGCACAATGGGTTATGCTACTGCCTGCGATGCCATCATCTCACATGAGTTCAAGGATCAGCTGCCCTACTTCCAATCCAGCTCCTTGCTAATGTATCAGAAAGAGTAGCATAGAATGACTCCAAGAATTTGGGCTCCTGCCACCTATGGGAGACATCAATGGAATTTCAGGCTCCTGGCTTTGCCTGGACCAATCCTGGCCATGGTGGCCATCTGGGGAGTGAATCAGTGAATAGAAGGTCTCTCTCTGTCACTCCTTCTCTGTTTGTAACCCTGCCTTCAAATAAATAATAAATGAATCTTTTTTAAAAGTATACCTTTATGGGCCGGCGCCGCGGCTCACTAGGCTAATCCTCCGCCTAGCGGCGCCGGCACACCGGGTTCTAGTCCCGGTCGGGGCGCCGGATTCTGTCCCGGTTGCCCCTCTTCCAGGCCAGCCCTCTGCTGTGGCCAGGGAGTGCAGTGGAGGATGGCCCAGGTGCTTGGGCCCTGCACCCCATGGGAGACCAGGAAAAGCACCTGGCTCCTGGCTCCTGCCATCGGATCAGCGCGGTGCGCCGGCCGCAGCGCGCCAGCCGCGGCGGCCATTGGAGGGTGAACCAACGGCAAAGGAAGACCTTTCTCTCTGTCTCTCTCTCTCACTGTCCACTCTGCCTGTCAAAAAAAAAAAAAATAAAAAAATAAAAAAAAAAAAAAAAAAAAAAAAAAAAAAAAGTATACCTTTATGTATTCACTTAAGTGAAAGGCAGAGAGACAGAGACAGAGAGATTTTCCATCTGCCAATTGACACCTTAAATGCTAGAATAGCAGAGCTGACCCAGGCCCAAGCCAGGAGCCTGGAACTCAATTTGGATTTCCCACATGGGTGACAGGAAGCCCAGTATTTGAGCGATCATGTGCTGCCTCCCAGAGTTCACTTTCACAGGAAGCTGGAATCAGACCGGAACCCAGGCACTGTGATGAGGGATGCAGGTGCCCCAAGCAATATCTTCACCACTCCACATGCCTACTCCCATGTCTCATTCTTATTGCCAAAATACCAAGACACCTTTTGCACTGATATTGTGAGGCCTCCCTGAGTTAGATCCAGAGGCCAGTCGCTCATGTCTGCCATTTATTGGAACATTTTAACGAAAGAGGTGTAAGTTTAAATAGCAGTTAGGAAGAAATCTCACTCAACCTCAATCTCCTAAGAGAATTTATTTTCCTGGAAAGGCCTATGTCAGAACCAAGCCTGAACTGTTTAAGTTTTAACTCATTTTTCTATAATAAATATTGGTTGTCTATTTGTGGCCTGTCCCAAGGATGAAGAATCCATATAAATGAACATTCTGGCAAGGTACAAAATCAACAAAATCCGTTAGAGTTGGAAAAACCAGTGCACTCTGTGAATTGTTCCATTAACAAGGCTGAGAACCACAGGAAAGCTGGGGAACTGCTCCCGGTGGCCTCGGTGAGATTTATGCAGCTCACCTGTCACCTGGCTGGGGCCCTGCCTCCTGAAAAACTGTTAGAAAAGGAAAAAAGGGACAGCAAGGAGGAGAATCTGTTACCCATTTTATAGGTGCAGTGGATGCTGTGTTAGTTGGTTCCTCTGTGGAGTTTTTGTTATTATTTAAATGAGATAAAGGGCTCTGTAAAACACTACTGTGGTACAATGTGTTACAATTTTTTTTCCACAAGTTACTATTAGGGCTGGAGAGTTGACGCATAGCTGTGCATTTTCACCGATGCTGTTGGCAGATTCTCTCTGAAGCAGCGACGGCTGCGACACACATGTCAGCACACATTGCCTGTAAACAAGGAAGGCCTGCCTCAGAGTGGGACTGAGGGAATTGAAGCCTCACTTGAGTGCTTTGAGAGGCCAAGATCAAAAGCACTTTTAAGCACATCATATAATTATCATCATTAAGAAGCATGAGGCGAGGAGTCCTAAACTCCCAAATTTTCAAAGCAACAAAAGCAGCACAGCTTTATTGGGACTTTGAAGTCAGATAAATCTCCAGGTATTTTCATTATAGAAACTCACAACTAATTAAGGAAAACCCTATCTGGGCCAGTGTTTAATTATGTTTGCTTGTCCGCGTGTGTCATGTACTGTGTTCTGAAAGGAGAAGGGTGTCAATTGGATTGTACCAAAAGACTGTGCTGGGACCAGCCAACAGCATTCATTTTTAACAAAGCATAGCATAGCAGGGTTTTGATCTCTTTTGTCTAAATAAATAAGTTCTTAATAGCATTGATGATTTTCTTAATGGTCCTCATAGCTCAAAGGTTACCTAGAACTAACTCCATCAAAAAATCACAATTATTTTACATTATAGGACAATGTATTGTACCATCTACTTAGGAGATGCTAGAGAAATTCTATCTGATAACAGGATAAAGATAATTATCAATGAAAAAAATCAGTAATAGAAGCCATTTATATCAATAGTAGACCAGAATTGCTAGCTGGTAGCCTGAGATCCAGACCTTCCCTGAAGACATTGTTTTTTCCTTTGGCACACATTAAATGGCCCACACTGTGTTTTTTCTAAAAAGCTTAATATCATTGATAAAATTTAAAAATTAGGAAAAAAAATCCTATAATATATGGATTTCTGGAAGGTCTGATAATAGCAGGCCCACCTGGCAACCTTGTGTCGGGAGACAGCTTGGCCAATTCCTTCAAATGAGCCATGTTGAATGGATGAACAAAGTGTGGTTCATCCATACAATGTCATATTATTCAGCCATAGAAAAGGAAAAAAGGACTAATACCTGATTTAACTTGGATGAGCTTTGGAAATGTTATGCTATTTGAAAGATAACAGACACAAAAGGCTACGTATTGTATGAATTCATTTCTATGAGATATCCAGGGCAGGAAAATCCATAGTGACAGAAAGCAGATTTGTGGTTTTCAGAGGCTGGGTGAAGGGGGAAATGGGGAATGAGAGCTTGATGGATATGGGGTATCCATTTCAGGAGTTGAAAAAGTTCCACAACTGGATAGTGGTGACAGTTGTACAACATTGTGAATGTTCAAAATGCTGACGAGTTACACATTTTAAAGTGGTAAGTTTCCTGTAATGTGCATTGTACCGTAATAAAAAAGATTAAATCATGAACTCCTAGCCCTCACCGTGCTAAGATCCTGGAAAGAAGCGGTTGACAGCACAGGTGCACGTGCCCTGCCTGGCAGCATGCCCCTTGAGCTGGCTGAGTGGCCAGAGTGGTCTCCAGGTGCCCCGGTGCCTCTACCAGGGTGGCAAGATTTCAACAACGGCTCACTATATGCACTCGGGTCCTAGGCTTTGCCTCCAGCAGCATGCCCACCAGTCCTTTTAGATGAGTAACTTCCACAGTAAAAATCTACTTTATCATGCAGGGTTTCGGAGGCCCTCATGCAACACTGTTTTAGAAAGGTATCCTGGATTATCCATCTAGGCCACTGGATGGAGAGTACCGCAAATTCTGTGTCTGATTCCATAGTTAGTCCCATCCCTAATCAAGTAATCAGGCAATCTCTACAGAAAGGGGTCCCTCAGCTGTTGAGTTACAATAAATGTCTTGTTCCTCTAAAAAAGAAGAAACCCCTACATAATGAAAGTGCAATAAAGTGTCATTTACTGCACATTTAGCATGTGCCTGTATTATATTTGTTTCCTCATTTAATGTGCAAAACAACACTGCAATGTGGTTTTATAAACGAGACCATAAAGCCCCAGCCTTTGAGTGACTTGCTCAGTGCCCTTTAGCTACCCAGCACAGAAGCCAAGACGCCATCACAGAGAGACGGTCTCTAGTCCCAGGACTTGAGACATCATACTCTCTGGCCTTTGGATATCCCTGCAGAAGAAAGCTGAAAAGTATGACTCAATTTCTTGGACTGAGAGGAGACGCAGTAGGACCTCAGCTGGCTGATGGGGAAAGTGGGGCTGGGAAGTGTGACAGGAGAATCTTGCATTAACCTCTAAGCCGGGAGGGTGGAGCCCCACCTACACTGCACTGACTCCCAAAGCATGTATTCCCCCAGCTCAGAGATTAGAGAGGAGTCACTGTGGGGAGCTTGTGCTTTGATGTGGCCCTGGAACAACAAGAATTGGTATGTCCTGCAAGTCCAATACATCTTGGCTCTGTTTGCTTCCATCTGTGCGGCTTAGTTGGGAGAAAATCATGCCCTCAGGGGCTCCTGGTAGCACTGACGGGAGAATTTTCAAGACTTTGCATTGTGGCCATCAGAACCAGGTATTCGAACACTGTTTTAGTTTCTGCAAAACATCACTGGTCACCTAAATTGATGTTATTAAATCTGTTCACTTCTTTTAGTTTATTTTATATTTCCCTTGTGGATTTGGTTTGATTTCATGGCTGTATTAGAGCTGTAAGTTTAAGGAGTATACAACTATATGAACTGATCATTCTAGTAACTTTGTTAAAAATAATCTAAGTCAACAGTGTAGTTCTTGTGAACTTTCTTAAAATGAGGAAATTGGGAAATATTTGTCTTTTTTTCCCCCAGAAACTTTTTACTTTTGCTGTACTACTTCCAGTCCCAGCCCATCCTTTGCATTCCTCACAAAGTGACTTTTCAACATGGAAAAATAATAAAGTCAAACTCCTCAGTGTCCTGCACTGGCTCCCTGAAAGTCCCCAATCTACAGCAGCTTCAAGTCCTGTTGATTCACCACCAAATCCTCTAGGTCCTCTCCCGCTTTTCTGTTCTACAGTGTCACACTTCACGGATTGCAGAAAAGCTTCTTCAATAATTTCCCTTCACCTGACCAGCAAATGGCACCCACTGCATGCCAAGCTCTGTACCAGACACTGAGAGCAGCACTGCACACAGTCCACCCCACGCACAGCAACACAGCCTGGCAGGGGAGAGACTCAGAAGGAAAAAGAGAGCACCTGCAGGGCACTTTACAAAGAAAGAGGATGCCCTGCAGAGGAAAGGGGGCTGACCTTGTCCGGAGACCCCGGAGGACACCACAGAGGATGTGGGTTTTCAGCTGCATCCTGCTCATTCACCTTGTAGTATCCACCTGAAAAGAAAAATACCTACATTTTGCAAAAAAAGGCCTTTTTTCTCATGAAATGCTTTCAAACACTCAAAATGTAAGAAATAGAGCTCTCAGCATTGCTTAGTATTTCTGAGGCTATTTTCATTTCATTACTTATGTATTTATTTTTAAAACATTTTTATTAATATAAAGAAAGCAGTTTTCATGCATTCCATAGGTACAGTTCCAGGGACAACCACATTTCCCTCACTTCCCTGTTCCCTCCCAGTTGCCCTCCCTCCCTCCCTCCCTCCTCTTCATCAGTTTTTGCAAAGACATAATTTTAATCCATTCTATATTCACAGGCTTAATTCACCACTAGTCATAATATTCCACAAGTAAAAAGTAGGAAGACCACAGTTCTACAGGAGTATGAACAAGAGCTAAAAACAACAATCATATCCCAAAATGTCCATTTTATTCCTATACATATTTGGTATTCTACATTGACTACCACATAGCAGTGAAAATATATGATACTGTCTTTTTAAAGATTAGCTTATTTCACTAAGTGTAATGGTTTCCAGTTGCATCCATTTTGTTGCAAAAGATGGAATTTCAGTTTTTATCTCTAAGTAGTATTCAATAGTGTATATATACCACATTTTCTTTATCCAGTCATTAGTTTATGGACATCTGGGTTGATTTCACATATTTGCTATTGTAAATTGAATTGCAATGAACATGAGAGTACAGATAACTCTTTGATATGCTGATTTCATTTCCTTTGGGTAAATTTCCAGGAGTGGGACAGCTGGATCATATGGTAGATTTCTTTTCAGATCAATAAGGAATCTCCATACTGTCTTCTACAATGGCTATACTAGTTTACCTTCCCACCAACAATGGATTAGGGTACCTTTTCCCTACACCTTGCCAGAATTTATTGTTTCTTGATGTTTAGATGATGACCATTCTAACTGGGGTGAGATGGAAACTCCTTGTGGTTTGGATTTGCATTTATATGATGGCTAGTGATCCTGAGCATCTTTTCCTGTGTTTGCAAGTTGTGTTTCATCCTTTGAAAAATGCTTGTTCAAGTCCTTTGCCCATTTCCTAACTGAATTGTTTGGTTTTATTGCTGTTGTTTCTCGAGCTCCATATAGATCCTAGATATTAATCCTCTATCAATTCCATGATTGCAAACATTTTCTCCTATTCTGTTAGTTGCCTTTTCACGTTATTGAGTATTTCCTTTGAAGTGCAGAAGCTACTTAGCTTGATGTAATCCCATTTGTCTATTCCTTTTTTTTTTTTTTAATTTCCCTTCAGGATTTGGAATCAAACAACCTTGGATCTGAATCTCTTCTTCCATTTATCTGCCCTGTTGCCTCAGACGTGTTGCCTCAACTCCTGTGAGTGTCAGTGCTAAGATTCACCTCACCTGGTGATCTTGATTTAACAAGGTAATGTGAATAATCTGCTAACGAAGGGCTGGACACACCAGTCACAGTCACTAGTTGTAGTATTGCTATTATCAGTCACCTTCAAAAGAACAGCTGAGATACAAATCCCATACCTACCTATATCCTGGCTACCATAGTACCTTTTAAAAAACTAATTATTTTTATTTATTTATTTGAAAGGCAGGGTGACAAAAAGAGAAAGAGAGACAGAGAAAGAGATCTTTCATCCCCTGGTTCACTCCCCAAATGACTGCAACAGTCAGGTATGGCCCTAGCTGAATCCAGGAGCCTGGAACTCTGTCTGGATCTCCCAAATGGTTGGCAGGAGCCCAAGCACTTAAGCCATCTTGTGCTGCTTTCCGAGGCACATGGGCACAGAGTTGGATTGGAAGCAGAAAAACTGGGACTCAAACCAGAGACCTGATGTGGGAACACAGGAGTAGTTAAACCTATGGTACCACTATGCTGGCCCCTACAGTAGGATCCCAGAAAAATCATTTTACTTCATACAGACTTGTATACTTGTAAATGAACGTTCTTGCTTCTAACACAATTGCTAAATGATGTAGCTGACTCTGAAAGCTGCCTTCTAGAACCTATACAAATTATAGATAGATCCCATTTGATAGATCCCATTAGTTTTAATTTTAGCTATATGAACCATCCCATCATAATAAATTGAGACATAATATGATGCCACAAAAGAATCACCCAGAAGAATATTCCATGACCACTAAATAGTTCTAAATCTTGAATAAAATAAAAGCAATAATAAGCTTTTAAAACCCCAAACATTATCCCTACAATGTTATTTTAGGGCCAGGCTCAGCAGAACACTTAATACAGATTTTAGGAGAATGAGTAAAAAAACAATGTGGAGAAAGTTCAGAGAGAGAGAGAGAACATCATACATTTAAAGTTTTCCAGGGATGTTGGGCCTGCATGTTTTTGTAAAGAAACATCTGTCAGGGTTTGTGAACCCACCAGGGTATCCAGGATTCACGTGTTTCATGTTGGAAGAGATTGTCGAGTCAAAGCCCTTTGGCAAATTGAGTCGGGCTGCTTGGCCCCGGGGAAAGCAGGAATTTAGCTGAATGCCTGATGACATTTTGGTGCCAACTAACAGAACTCATTGATACTAATGAGACCTCATCATTTCGGAGCAGTTACATCAGTGGCATTAATAAAAAAAAGTCCACTGGAAAGTTCACCCAATTCTTCCATGGGGTCCACGGAGACTGCTGTGTGTTGGGCCCCTCTGCTAATTAGCAAATGCTTTGTGTTCAGAGCCCTAAGCCCTGTTGGAGGGTTAGAAGTGCCTGCTCACCTTGGTGTATCTCAGCCACCTAACTAATCTTTCAATGCTAAGCGAAGTGAATGGGGATCCATTTTCTGTATTAACAATGAAAGAGTAGAACACAAATGTCCATTTTTAATGCTATGATTGCCTTGAAAATTTTTATGGTGAAGACGTGTGGAAGCTGACAGCTATTTCAACCACTGCAAACCAGCTACCTGATCAGCTCAGGTAAAGGAAGTTGCAGATAAACTTTCTCCTTGTTGGCTGCCCTGCCAGTCTCTGTGCTTTTTTCATTGGATTCTGGAAACCAAAAGGCACCGTGGGTCAATTTCACAGTTCATTATCTAAGAACGAGTAGGACCTCAATAATTCAGTTGTATATGCATCTAAATTTGATGGAGTTACTGACATTGGGAGCTGTCGAACAGAATTACCAGAAAGAAAACAAAGAACTGGCCTTTGCCATATAACATGTGGGATGGTAAGGAGGATACCTTTACTGTTTGCTTAGGAGTTTTCAGAGACCTGTTTGAAGGAGGAGCATGACTTTGGCCAGGTCCCTGTCAGCTCCATGATTAACATATAGAGTCTGCTTAGACTTCTGATGGCTGCAGTTTGGCTAGAACAGTGTAAAGAGCCCTGGTTCTGGTGGTTTTCTCCACGTAGTCAGGGGTGAACCAAGCACAGGCGGTGGCAGCATTGGAAATGAAGGCTGCCTGCAGCAGGGCAGAAGTCACAGGCTCTATCTGAATCTCAGAGAAAGACGCTGTGCAGTTCACATTCTGGGAAGTGCACGTGTTCCTGTTTCACCGCGGCTGGTTTGCCCACAGCCAGGCGTGATCAGGGAAGCCAGAGCCTTCCGCCAAGTCTGAAACCCACTCAGCCCCTGTGGGATTTGAGTGTAGCTCTTTTAAAACAACATTTTGATGGGTTGTGTGTAAATGAATCAGAAACATATGGATTCAATTTCCCTTGAAGGGTACGTGGGTTTAAAAATTAAGGGGGAAAAATGTGTGGAGCTTGGGTATGTATCAAAGGCAAAATGTTTAAAAAATAATACAAGACGTTTTGCAGAACAGAAAACACGCCTGCTTTCTTGAAGTGGAGTAATTGGAGCAGACCAAGAGGTAGGGCCCGGGACTCTGCAGTTGAGAAATACGCATAGGCCCAGCTTTCCAGGGTTTGCTGGTGTGCTGCTGGCTGCCTCCAGCCACGTCCTGGCACCTTGCAAACAGCACCCAGCAAATGGAAAGCAGACGCCACCCACCAGGGAGGCCAAACCATATCTGTGCTGAAAATTAAGTCACCAGGCAAATGGAACGAATACTTCAAACCAGGTACTTGGACTGTTTAAGTTAATTTCATTCTAAATGGAGGAGAGTCTGCAGGCTGAGATATAAACTGAAGTTAAGAAACAGAAATTGTGAATTCTATCTTCTAAACCCTGAAGATCCACCAGACCAGAGGCTGTGAACATCAGTGAAGAAGCCTGAGTAGAACTCGGGTTTCAAATTCATTCATCAAACTGAGCTCCTACTGAGGGCCAGGCACCGTTTTCAGAACTAGAGATATATAACACATGAGCAGTTGTTACCTTCAAGTTACTTTCAGTTGCTAACAGAAGGAGACTTGGAGGGATCTGCATATCAGACAGAAGGATGCACAGTATACAGTGAGTGTAGCAGAGAAGAAGGGTGGGCAATGCCGCCTTAGAAGAGTGGGGAGGAGCAAAGGTCATTATTTAATCACCTGCTATGTTCCCGGTTGGTGAGGGGGACAGTGTTCCCTGAAGCTATGAGGATGGCCGGATGCGCAGCAGCTGGCACTGGATGGGCGTTACTAACAGCAGTTTGTTAGTCACATAAGTCTCAGGCCGGGGGAGGAAGACATGGCACGTTATGCAGGGTCACAGAGGGCTTGCACTCTGGAATGGAGAGAATGTCCAGGGACTATGAAAGGCCTTGCAGAAACAGGAGGGTGAGGTGTCCCCTGTTTCCCACCGGAGGAGGGGCTGACTTGTTTGAGTAAGTCTGGAGCTGGCAGGGAATCATAAGCCACTACCCGGGGATAAGCGGAGACTGTACTTGGCTATGGAACTTTATCTGCAGGAGAAGAGTAGAAAGGGGAGTCGGTGTGAGGCCATTCCAGACCTTCCCAATTTAACCAGACGTCAAGGCAGCACATGATATTGGGACTGAACTTTAGACCTTCTATCACAGTGATGCTCAGGCAAGTATTTAAAAACATGTGAGCAGGCTTCCAGTATATGACTGGGAAGGGCATGCTGGCATCCCAAATAGAAGAACCAAGGCCAAAGGCACAAAGCAGCCTGGAAAATGAGTTAAATATTTTGAAAAAAAGAAGAATTTCTTTCTACAGATTTGTAAAAATGAAACCCCAAACTGTCTTTAAAGGATAAAACATTGTAACATCAGAAATAATGACAGAAAAGGAGGCATGTTAACTTAGAGCAACAGTGTCCAATATAAATATAATGTGAGCCAGAAGTGGGAGCCACTTACGCAATGTTAAGCTTACTAGTAGCCACACTGAAAAAATAAAGAGAAATAGGGAAAATTAATTTTAATGATGTATATTAACCCAATGTATCTAAAATATTAACATTTCAAGATATAAAAACATAAAAAGATTAGCAAGATTGTTTACCTGCTTTTTTTTCAGACTAAGTCTTTGAAACCTCATCTATATTTTTACAGTCACAGTGTACCTCCATTTGGACTGACCACACATTTCAAACACTCCCACATTTGACTGATGACTACCACAGTGGACAGCACAAATGTAGAGCATCTTGAATTGACTTAAATTTGGAACAAAATGCTACATGTGATTTCTTTTCTTCCTTAACGTGGCTGTTAAAATGGGAAGCTCTCACAACTAAGGGACAATTTTCAGATGAGGAATGGAAGAAGCCTAATATGTCAAGTCCCAGATACTCCTCTTTCAGATCCAGCTTCCTGCTAATGTGCCTAGGAAGCAGTGGGTGATGGCTCAAGTATTTGTCAAGTATTTGAGTTCCTGCCTCCCACATGGGAGACAGGGATGCAGTTCCTGGCTGCTGGCTTCAGCCTGTTCAGCCCCATCTGTTGCAGCCATCTGGGGAGTGAGTCAGGGGATGGAAGTTCTCTTCTCTTCTCTTCTCTTCTTCCTTCCTTCCTTTCTTTCTTCCTCTCTCTCTCTCTCTCCCTCTCCTTCAAATAAATAAATAAATCTCTTTTTTAAGACTTCAGCAACCATTCTGAAAGCAGTGGAATTGGCATAGAGATGAGTCCAAATGTTACCTCTTTCCTATATATATTCATATGACCACTGCTTTAAGACTACATAGAGGGGGCTGGGGCCGTGGCTCACTTGGTTAATCATCCCATATAGGCCATATGGGCCCCAGGTTCTAGTCCCAGCTGTTCCTCTTCCAGTCCAGCTCTCTGCTGTGGCCGAGGAGTGCAGTGGAGGATGACCCAGGTGCTGGGCCCTGCACCTGCATGGGAGACAAGGAGGAAGCACCTGGCTCCTGGCTTCGGATTGGCGCAGTGCACTGGCTATAGCGGCCATTTTGGGGGTGAACCAACGGAAGGAAGACCTTTCTCTCTGTCTCTCTCACTGTCTAACTCTGCCTGTCAAATTAAAAACAAAAAAGACTACATAGGATACATAAATCTTAAGTCTCCTTTCCAGACCAAGACCTCGGGACACTAGGAATATAATGCAGAAAGAAGCTATTGTGAGTAAGTTTACAACAACTATTCAACTAAGATCAATTATTAGCGCTTTTAGATGACGCTGTAACTTGGCCACTCCACCAAGTGACCACCCCTGTAATGTTTTGGGATTCTGAAGAGTGTGCTGACTGCTCTTCCTCAGCTACTTAAAAGCACTGAATCCCCCAGAAAGAAAATAAGGGATAATAACCAAGCTGCATAGCAAGTCCTGAGAGACAGTGAGACAACAATTCTGTGATTCGGTCTCTCCCCACCCTCTCTCTCTTTCGCACACACACATATGCACACACGGTTGCTCTACTTACTAAATACGTCTTTGGTAGTCCCATGTTACTCAGAAAATAACATCCTGTCTAACTCAACATAGTTTTGTCAAGTCTGAATTCTTTAGTTAAGAGAGCTTATTTTGGCCTATTTTTAAATATCCCTATGGGTGATTTCCCCTCATTGAAAAAGCATTTTTCTTGTATGACTGAAATGAGATATTTTGTTATCTTAAAAATACCATTGCTTAAGAATTCCCATCTCACATCCTATATCTGCTATGTCACATGGGAAATCCTTTCATGTTTGACATAGACAGGGAAAACCTAGGAAAGGAGATGCAAAGGATTCAGAGATGTTGATTGCACATTATCATTAATGTTTCAAAATGAAGAAAAAATTAAGAAAAGTTCTTACATTTGTGGACTGTAATAGAATCCAGAAAAAAAATATCATGCCCAAAATGCAGAAGATTGAAATCACAAGAAGGTAACGAAGGAGACTGCAGCTGGAGTAGACTCCAGCAAAGTCAAAGGATGCGCGCTGATAAATAAAGACACATTTACAGGATCGTTAAGATACCTGGGAGGCAATTTTAGAAAGCTTTTCTAGAGGCTAACAGTGAGTTCTGTAGACTATCATACAGGCCAAACACTCTCCATGCTGCACTAGTGTGCATTTGAATGGCCTTCAAGCTGATCATGTAAAAGGTCCCTTGATTGACTGCTTTCCCTTGAAATGTGTGCTTTTCAGTCTGACAATCCTCCCAACCCATCATTGAAAATTTTATCTTTGACATACGTTAGGCAAATAGAAAAAATTAAAAAGTAATGAGGCAGGGGCCCAACTGCTTTGAGAAGTTTCCACATATGTGCTAATTAGTGATTCCATCTGAAAATATTCCCAGAAAGCTGTATGGGTAAAGCAGACTGGGATAAATAATGCAAAGACCCTGTGGCAGTGTCACAAACACTGTAATGAAGGCTGCTTGTGAGTTCAAAGAGTCTCCAAGTGCTATGACTGAGAATAAAAACATCAATGAAGTAAAACTTCAACATCAACCTCAGGGTTATCACACACACACAATACACACACACCACACCACACCACATCACATCACTTCATGCTTCAGCGTTTTGGTGAAGGCAAAACAACTCTTTCAGGATTTATATTGCACCTACCCATCACTTTCAGCTCTGTGCTTGCACAAAGTGAAATAGAATGTCTTACATCTAGCTGGTAGTGCTGCTGAAATGTGCAGTCTTCGTTCAAATGCTGGTCCTGTTATGCAAGCACATGGAGATGATTAGTTTGGGAAATAAGGCATTAGTCCACAGCCTGAAACACCAAATGACATACCCTCCAATTTCAGGAACCATAACCTCTGGAAGTCCCTTTTGTGAAATGACAAGCCTGCTGGTTTAGTCTTCTGATACAATGCCCAATTGTGTTTTTTAAGTACAATTGAGTTTCACCAACCAGACCAGAAGTGCTGGTGGTTGAAATACATTCTGTAAAGTCAGGAGAGAAGTAACACAAGCTCCTTAAATGGGAGGTAAATAGCACTATTATGATAATTCCTGGTTTGAATGCTTTCAGCTAACACAAGAAGACTATGATTTGGAGGTTGCAATGGAGATATTACGAGAAACACCTAATGCTTTGCTAGAAGTGCTGCTTGAAGTGCTAGCATAAATTGTGCAATTTCATACCCCTCCCCCCAAAAATCCACCTCAACAGCATTTAATGGCCTTAGAAGTCTGTGACGTGTGTGTTTTATCAGAGGGATGTCTAAGGTGCCCTCATCCAAGCTATTAAGTGTGTGACTCAGTCCAAACTGCTCTCCTCTCTAACCCTGACATTCCCCGGCTGAAACGAGTGCTCTATCATTCTAACTGCCAAGGAACAGGGGAAGCCAGCGCCCTGCTCAGCTGACCAGTTAGCATCCATGGATCCAGCACAGAAGCACCTCTGTGTTTTGCAAGGCCTCTGTGGACTGCCCACCTGTGTCAGTGACCCACTTACTGGACCCAGTGAAGTTTTACTGCTTTGTCAAACTTACTGGGCATGAAAACAAAGTCCTGCTCTGTAGAAGTAAACAAAGGGTGGGAAACAGTTTGAAGGCTGCCTGCTAATGAAGGCCCTTGGTCTCTTCCTCCCTGAAAATCAAGGCTTCCCGCAAAAGGAATAAACTGCCCTCCACGACAGAGAGTGAAGTAACCAGGTATTTACATTTAGACAAGATAGAGTTTCATCTGGCAGCCTGGGAGAGTGCGCAGCTGTCAAGAATCAAATAAAGGCTTTCAAAAATCTTCCTCAAGAGCCAAGGATGCCATTTGAAGAGCAAAGTAGTGAGCAATTTCCGCTAACATCACAGGAATTTTGAAAACTAATTCTGTTTGAAAGATACAACCTGCCCATACCATGCCCATCAAAAAGTCTACAACTCAAACCTTTAAATAAAGTATTATAAATTTTGACATACTGGATTTTTCACTCTTATTCATAATTTTTATTTTCTTTAATGGAACAAAAGACCCAGCATACTGATTTTTCACTATAAAAGGAAATATTAACACTTGGAAGGAGGGTTTTTCCTTCATACATATATATAGATATATAGTTTGATGAGACTGTCTGAATCAACTGCATCCTATTTCTAAATCTTGTGACCAAAGACGTTTATAACAAGATTACACATGAGGGATTGCTCATATTTATTAATGTAGTGAAGGTGCCAGTTTCTGTGTATCCCAGAATTTGGTGTTCCTAGAAATGTCTGGAAGAGGGGCTGGTGTTGTGGCATAGCAGGTAAAGCTGCCAAGTGTGATGACGGCATCCAATATGGGTGCTGGTTTGTGTCCCAGTTGCTCCACTTCCAATCTATCTGCTGCTAACATGCCTGGGAAAACAGCAGAGGATGGCCCAAGTGCTTGGGCTTCTGCAACCACGTGGCAGACCCAGATGAAGCTACTGGCTTCTGGCTTCAGCTTGGCTCAGCCCTGGCTGTTGCGGCCATTTGGAAAGTAACAAGCAGATGGAAGATCTGTGTGTGTGTGTGTGTGTGTGTGTGTCTTTGTAACATTGCCTTTCAAATAAAATGAAATAAATTAAAAAAAAGGTCTGGAAGTTTATGGGGACAGGCTGTGTGGAATTAAGAGCTTGTCTGAATGGCATTGGAAGCTAGAAATGAGTGAGTATAAATTCTGAATACAGCAAAACTACCTCAGCCTTCTTAGCCTCCTACTTAGGTACTGAGAAAAAGAACATGTGAAATAAATAAGTAGATAGATACATACCTGCCTCTGTCCATAGATGTAGTGTTCATTCACTCAGCAAGCATTTATTGAGTTCCTGGCATTAACACAGGTGCTTATTACATCAATGAATGCCACATCTGGACTTTATAATCTGGTGCAGGTGGGGAGTGATGGGGACTGAATGTGTGTGTGTGTGTGTGTGTGTGTGTGTGTAAGTATAAAACAAATACAAATATTGATAAATGTCAAAAAAAAAAGTCTAGGAAAGCAACATGAGACTACATGGGTATGTTGACTCTCTAAGGCAGGTCTCTGATAAGATGGCACCCGAGTAAAACACCAGAGCAGATGATAGCTACCTGAGGCTAGAGCTTTGCCAGAAGAAGGAACAGCAGGTACAAAGGCCCTGAGTCCAGAGCAGACCTTGTTCAGTAGCAGCAGAGTGAGTAGATGAAGTACGGTTGAAGATGAGGTCAGAGTGAAATGGTTAAGGCAGCCCAGATAGATCACAGTCAACAGGACCATGGACAGCTTTTACTTTTACTTTTACTTTTACTTTTACTTTTACTTTTACTTTTACTTTTACTTTTACTTTTACTTTTACTTTTACTTGGAGGGGCCCACTGGAGTGTCTGAGAACAGGATTGATGAGATCCCAGCTATGACTTAAGAGGATCAATTGGTAATTGTGTTGGGAACAACCACAAGAGGACAAGCAGAGAGGCTTATTAAGAGGTTCCAGCTATATCCAGGGATGAAACCATGGTAGTTTAAACAGCATGCCAGAACTAGGTTTAAATAGGGTACTTAGAATAAAAATTTAGCTTAGGGGGCACTCTGTCAGGATTGTTCAAGTGTAGTGTCAGCAGGATCTTCACGTGCAAGACTCCACGAGTGAAAGCTTTGTGGATTAGGTGCCTCTCCTTTCTCTCTTTAAACTTGGAGCTGTTTGACAGGGTGGGGACAATAAAAGGCAGAACATAAAACCAAGATGTGTTGATGGCATGGAGCATGGATAAATAAGGGGAAAGTCCAAAATGAATCAAGTGTTTTGACCTGAGAAACTGTAGAAAGAGGCCGTCATTTTCCATAGAAGTAATCTATGAGAAGAGCTTGTGTGGAGGAGGAACCCCAGGAGCTCAGTTTGGGATAGATAATACCTGAGATGTTTTGTAAACATCTACCTGCATATAGATACATGAGGTGTTGGGGATTTAAAATGATAAGCAAAATCACAATGAGGCGGCCTTCCTGGAGCTCTGAACCCAGTGTGGATATGGTCAAATAGACATACACAACAACGTGATAGCTTGCTATGAAATGACAACCCAAGAATGCTATCAAAGTTCATGAGCAAAATACCCAATCTGGATTTGAGAGCCTCATAAATTGTGAGCAATTAATAACTACTTCTTGTAAATATTTATTTATCTACTTATCTAATCGCCAATTTTGCTGTGTTTTATTGAAGATTTATTTTCCCAGGACATAAACAAAAAAAAATGAGGAAAGTACAATCCAGAAAAAGATAAATTTAAATTGAAGCTTTCAGGAAGAGCAAGGATTAACTATAACCAAGTATATTTGTAGGAAATAGGACAAAAATTTTACAGGCAAAAAACAATATTGAGAAAGCTCAACAGCAGTGTAAGTATATTATTGGAGCCACTGTCAAACCAGGAAATCTCAGAATCAGTGTTCCCTTTCTATGGTAGAGAATCATGACATCAGTCTTTGGGCTTTAGCAACTCTCATGAGGACATCAGAACAGTGGTGCTCTGCTGTGAGTCCCTAGCATAATGGAAGTCTGCATGTCAGTAATGATGGAAGGCATGACTATAATGAGCTGAAGCAGAAGATGAAAGGGATGGTAGATGACATTTGAGAGGCTATAGAGACACTGACGGCCTCCACAGCCCCCTGAGCATCCAAGAACAACTAGGATGAAATGAGAGATCTAAGCTGGGAGTTGTCCTAGAGCAGGTTTTAGCAAAGCCACAGAAATAGGATACAGTATTGTTTCTTTCAGTTTCTTCCTCTTTCCTAACAAGTGTCTCAATTCTCTTTAGTTTTCCACTTTTCATCTGCACGATTTATATGCCTTTGGAGACACTGAGCCCATCCCAGCTCCAAGAGTGGCTTTGATTGGTCAATTAGATTCCTTTTGTCAATGATTGACTTAGGGTTGGTCTTGGAATCAAGAGAAAACATAAAATGTTCTCTTGAAACCTCTGGTAAACTTATTCACCACTCTTAAGGAGAACATTTTTCAGCTGCAGATGAAAAATAAAATGATAGTACTTGTATACTACTTTTTTCAAACAGCTTTCTTTTGAAATTATTACTGTTTGCTGTTGTTGTTCCTATAAGTATACCATAAGATAGAGAGAGTAATGAATAAAACAGGTCACAGAGAGATTTTATGTGAGATTTCAAGATGGCAGAATAAGGAGGGAGCTTACTGCTCTAGGCTAGGGGAAGATAAAAAAAAAGTGAAGAGAGTGCAATCTCAGGAAAGAGCTAGGGAGAAAACTACAGAGGCAACTCCACGCAAATTAGAGGGACACAGTGGATCTATGTGGAGGGTGGGGACGCACATAACTCAGGACCCCACAGCTGAGAGCCTCAGCACCAGCTTTCGAGTGAGGTGAGACCAGACTGCAGCAGCCAAGCCACTGGTGATAAAGCTGTGGGAAGAGCCTGGCATGAGTCTGGCTTGAAGCCCAGTGGGGGACAGTGCACCTGCAAACATAGAGGGAAAAAAGGGGGGCACGTTTCTCTCTCCCTGACCACCCATTGGTGTGCTATAACTAGATAATAAAAGGTGGGCACCATTTTGGACATACGTAACTGCTGCACCAGTTTGTGCCAACATGCCCAGCAACCAGCTGAGAGGAGAAAACTGACTCTGGATCTTAAATATTAATCACTTTGGGAATGTTTAACATAGTATTATTTATGTTAATAAAATATTAGACACAACATAAATGTCCAAAAGTAATGTATTGATTGAAGCATGGTGAACAACTATTCATCCATAACCATGTGTTACTGTGAAGGCTTGAAAAATATGGTCACAATATATCATTAAATAAAAAAGCATACATCAAAGAAATCTGTTCAATATAATTCCATTTCTGTTAGAAAAAATATACTGTTTATAGAAAACTATATAACATATAGCAAAGTGTTAACAGTTGTAAATTATATCTGAACAATGGGAAGAAAGCACTATTTTTCTTGATATTGGAATTTTCTACAATAAGCACAGATTGTGCAAAAAAGTAATTCTTTTATTGTCATATAATAACATTTGGTTGTTTTATACTTAAATTTCTATATAAATTTTCTTTATTTTTAGTCTGGTATTCTTAAACATTGATGCTTCAGTTGCCAGAGGTCAACTCACTGTGTAGAAAACTCCTGCAGGTCTGTGAGGTGAATTATCACAGCCAATCCAACAGCTGATGTAAAAACAAGACTCTCACAGAGATCATCAAGTGAGGGTGGTTCTGAAAATAAACCAGGTCATTTACAGATAATCTATGCAATTCACTACCATGTGAGAGATGAGATTCCTTCAAAGCTAACCCATGAATTTACATTTAATGATAATAACCATCGTTTGTTAAAACTCACAATGTGACTAGCACTGGGTAAGGACTTTTTTTAGTATCCTTTGATTAAGTATTATTAACCCTAATCTACTGATGCAGAATGAAGGCATTGTTCATCCAGATGATAGAACTGGGACTTGAACTCTGGCCTATTTACTACAGTGAGTCTTTTATAAAGTCTTTGTAAGGTTTGTATATTGAACACAAGACTGATCTGAGTGTCTCACACACCAAACTATCTGAATGCCTTTGTTTATACTCTTTATCACCCTAACCATTCAATATTTCACAGATTTGTTTTAAAAAACACGGATAAAATTAATAATAAAATCAAATATGTTCATAAAAACATTGCATGTACTCAATGTTATGTATTGTTCCTTAAAAGTATAGCCTAAAACATCTCTAAACAGATGTCCCGTCTAATGGACTATACTCATGAACATATGTGTAATACAGGATTTGCCTTTCAACAGTATGAACTATTTCCACAGAGCATAACATGAAATAATCCATCATAGAAAATTATTTCCTTTAACTAAATCACAGTCATATGAGTGGAGCTTCCAGTCAACTCTATCCTGGAAGATATGAACAGTTTTTAAAGAGGCTACTGGTGAGCTTGAATCAAAGACCCCAAATGAGAAATGATCAGTGGGCTTCAAAAATAAAGGAATAATGAAATCAAGAAAAATACATTGGTCTTTGATATCCCTCTTCTCTTTTATGTGGTGTCAAGAAATTCCTAGCAGTTTTCTATTCCAAGATAAGTTACCCTGTGTTATACTTCCTAACATCTATAAGAGAGGAGAGAAAAACAGTTCAAATATCCTTCACATATATTCATTATTTATAACAATACTTCACTATAGATTGCTTCTGATGAAGTGAAACACCCTATGTATTATTTTTCCCCTCTGGGAAAAATCCAATTTACTCAAATATATGAAAATCTATATAATAAAAATGTATTCTAGTCATTGAGCACTTTCTCACATAGAAATGTAATCTTCCACATATTCCTCTAATATAGAACATCATATCGCTGGAATATAATTGCAATATATTCATCACAATACTTATCAGACTATTCTCCCAGGTGCTTCCGTATCCATTTTTCTTTTCTATAGACAAAAATTAGTTCACTTAATGGTGGAATTACCTTGTATTTTTAGCACCTGACTTCCATGATTTCACTCTTTGAACTAACCTTTTAATTTCTTTTATTTTCAAGTAGGAAGTAAATCAAGAGATTTTCTCTCCCTTTCTAAGGCTCACACATGATTTAATGATGCTTTGGTATGGGGCTGGTGTTGCAGTACATGGGGGAAAGGCACCACCTGAGAAGCCAGCATCCCATGAGTGCCAATTTGAGTTCCAGCTTCTATACTTCTGATCCAACACCCTGTTAATGTGCCTGGGAAAGAAGTGAAGATGGACCAAGTGTTAAGGCCTTTGACCCACATGGGAGACCCATATGGATTTCTGGCTCCATCCAGAATGTCTGTTATGGGCATTTGGGAAGTGAACCAGTGGAGAGACCTCTATGTGTGTTTGTGTATGTGTGTATTTATAATTCTCTCTCTGTAAATCTGCCTTTCAAATAAATTAATTAATCTTTTCTTAAAAAGTATGCTTTGTCTAATGTAAATCAAGTTATACTTGTATGATGGTTTACAAAGCATTCAAATATGTTGTTACCCACCCAGGGTGTGGGTCTGCTCCTTGGTGACTAGAAATCAAAAACTTCAACAAGCAGTTGTCACACAAAGTAACTTAGTTGCAGCTAATAAGGAGATCACGGGGAATCATTTCCAAAGTCATGACTCCCAGACCCAAGGCGAGTATCTACTCTTAAGGGATATGTAAGGGTGGGCACAAGCATTACACAGGTGCAATGTAGAAACATGCTTAGACATATACCACATGTTATAGTAATAGAGCTCCTAAGGCAGGAATCTTACCATTAAAATTAGGGAAATGTTTATTCTCTGATAAGTATTAGAAATTTACACATGCTTGGTTATCCTGGCTGTGGTCATGATTGGCTCCAGTTAGATTCTCTTTTAGGTCAAAGCCACCTGTTTTGTTGGTTGAAGACATTTGTTTCCTTCATGTGGGCCTGAAAGACAGTTTTTATAAAATGTTACTCTTTTGTCTGGTTAGCCAGGAGGAAGGGTTCTGCTCAAACTCTCATTGTGTGAGCTACAAACTCACCTTGAGTTCTCTGGTTGCTGGTTTGTCCTGCTATATAATACAAAAGAACTTGTATTTCCTGCCTGTGTGAATGAGTAGGTGACTTGGTATCCTCTACAACAGAAATACCTGAAGAAAATAGTCTCTCCTATGTGGCCTTAGAGGATGCCCTATCCACCAGGCAAATAATTTCTCCTTTAATAATACTACATTTATTTATTTACATATTTGTACCCATTCAACTGCAATGTCTTTAAAAAATAACAAGTCTATTTAAATCATGGTTGATCTTCATCATCTAGAATTATGAGTCTAGCACTATGTACAGAGTATTTATTTGCTCAATAGATGTTTCATAAATAAATGAATAAATTGTTGGTACATAAATGAGAAAAAGATGAGGTAGAGAAACTAAAAAAAATTGCCAAGATCTCACAGATGTGACATGGAGCCCAAACTGGAAACTAGATAATTTCATCCATCTGACTCAAAAACACACCCTTTCGACTATATCCAACAGATTATATAATAATTAATCCTTTCTCATCATCAAAAATGTTACTCTGTTCAGTGTTATGAGATTATAGAAATTACAGGCATCACCCAGGTCCAGTGATTGCCAGTAAACTTCCTGCATTCCCTCCCCCACTCTCCAGATAGCTGTGTTAAGTCACGGTTTGTGACATCGACTCAAAGAAGGCAAGGCAGCAGGAGACAGGCCTGAGAGTCCACGTCGGCTTCTCAGGTAGCCACCTCCCATTCTGCAGAATGGAGCTCACCCAGAGCTTAACAAAATGTATCCTACCTCTTAGAGCACTCCTGCATCGCCACTGTTCTCCAGTACCCTTTCAAGTCTCCACATCTTCCTACTGCTGATTCCCACTCAGTATCTCTTCCCCGGGATGCTTTCAATGGGCTCTTCCCAGATATTGTCTCAAGCTTAGTCTGACCTCATGGGAACTGCAGGCCTCAGAGATTCTTAACCACAGGTAGACAAAGAACTAGAAGAGCTAAAAGTCCTTATAAGTTCTTTTTGTTTATTTCAGTAACACCTGAAACATCATTTTCTATGTCCTAGCACCTGTAACTCTCTATTCCTCATCATAAATCAACATTTAAGGAAAAAAGGCCTGTCTCCTAAAAATCATCTGTGTCTATACTCCAACAGACCAGAGCTAATTCATAAATATGGAAAAGGAATAAAAGTGGTTGAAATGAGACTTCGCCTATGTTGCTTCCCTCCCCCACAAGTTGATACCCAAAGGAGAAGCTACCCAAGGTGCTGATGTTTACTGAATGGCATCCATCACACAGGTAATTACTCATCCATCTTAATGCTTCCTTTTAAGTTTGCCCTTAAGAAGCCTGTGATCTCCCAAGTCAAGGGCCTCAGTAAAATCAATAAAACCTCGTCCTATCAGGCCACCAGCCAGATCATTTTCCACCTTTTAACAAGGCAGTGGTTATTAAATGCCTTGTTTGAAAACCCAAGTGGGGTCATCAGACTTTCATGATGAGAATAATCCATCAATTGTACATGTGCTATCTTTTCAGTGTCTTTGATATGAGTGATAAAGTAGGTAATGGCCTACGGTTTTTCAATATCTGAACACGTTCTCCCTTTTTACATTGGGGTTGCAGCATAGCAAAGGGAATTTCATAACTAGAGGGAGCTTGTTAAGGGAGAAAGGCATTTCACTGTGTTATTTCAGTCAATGTATGAGATGCACGAATGACTCCAACTTTGAAAGGTGAATGCCAAACTGCCAGTACCTTCTTTAGTTCTTAACCCAGCTATTCAATGACAAGTTTCTGAAACCCCTGAACTGACAATAGGATATATCTTATTACAATGATTGATGTGATTCTTTTTTGCTGGTTGGATCCCTGACCTGAATTTGTATGAGAGATTAGAAATTGAAGAACACACAAATTAAGGAATGTTAGTTTCTTCAATGCTAACCAATCATATAACAATACCCACAAAAATCCCTCAGAAACACACCTTTTGTTCATGCCTGTGCAAAGAAATATTTCTTTCAATACCTTGCTGACATTATAATCATTAAAAATTTGTATTCTGATACTGTCAGACATCTGTATGAATGATAAAAACAATTCATAACTTGACAAATGGAAACTCCTCCCTTCTCTCCAAATATTCTGTTTGATTCATTTGGAAAAGTATCTTGGGATTATCCATTTTCCACTTAAGATCTAATCCTTTTTATTGTTTCACATTAATTATGAAATTAAAAGGGGACTATTTCAAAGCCCTAGCTACATTATTCCAAATTTACACAATTAATCAACAAATTCAAATTTCAATCTATGACAGCTTCCAGGAAGGGATTATGACCTGGCATTTGACCAACTATAAACGTCTATTAAACTAGAATTCTTGAACTTTATCAGGGTAATGATGATTAACAGGGTTGTAGGAATCATGAGAAAGAGCACAGTTATTAAAGGAAGATTAAATACATTCTTTAGTTTTAATAGTAAATGCTTATACCCTAATTCTTTGAAATTTGTAAACCTCATATGGCAATTTTCTCAATTTACCAAACACTGCATTTCTGGAATATAAGGGTATCACGGAGAGAAAGCTGTTCTACTCTCCACTGGCACTTCAAAACTAAGCCCAAACAACACTGGGCAAAAGGAATGGGGCCATGGAGCCAATGAAGACAGCAATACACTTGGCATCTCCTGCTTACTCCTGTTCTCATTTGTTTTTATTGTAACTTACATAGATAGAAAATTAATTAGGGGATCACTTCTCGGCCTCTTGGCTAAGATCAAGTGAAAGTGAATTAGGGGAAAAAATAAAATGGGCTACCTTCAGCCAGCTTGCAGTTCCTTTGTTGTGATATGTTGTGAGTAATAATAGAAGGAAAGTAGTGGTTAAGAGAGTAACCTAAGTAATCACAAGCCTTTTATTTATGTATTTAAGTCTATTTTATGAAGCAATTGATATGTTATCTCATTTATCTCTGGAAGCGCCCCCTCTGCAGTGGGTGATGCTAGCAAACACCCCCAGAGCCATGTAGGCAGACATAGCTCATCTCAAATCCTAGTACTTGGGGTTGGCATTGTGGCGCAGGGGGTTAAGCTGCTACTGGTGATACCGGCATCCCATATGAGCACTGATCTGGGTCCTATCTGCTCCACTTCTGACCCAGTCCCCTGCTAATGTGCCTGAGAAAACAATGGAAGATGGCCCAAGAGCTTGGGTACCCGCTATCGCATGGGAGACCTGGATGGAGTTCCAGGCTCTATGTTTCAGCATGACCCAGCTCCACTGTTGCAGGTATTTGAGGAATAAACCAGTGATGGGAAACCTCTTTCTGTCTCTCCCTCTCATCTGTATCTGCT